AAAGTACACTTACCTGCCTGTTGGCAATCATCTGTAGAATGTACTACTGAGCTATTCAGTTTACATTTCTCACAATGCCTCTGTGCCAGAATGACTATGCTCCTGCACATGCATGGAAGTTATGTGATCTTTCACCAGCCAATCAAGGAGGCCAAAGACCGACATTTGTGAGAAGCCGGAGAGAAGATATCATTGCAACCATTGGACCAAGAATGCATAGGTGAGTACAGTGGCTAAGTGGTTAGCACTTCTGCCTGGCAGCACTGGTGTCATCAGTTCAAAACCTAACCATGGAACTACCTGCCTGGAGTTTGCATGTTCTCCCTCTGCCTATGTGAGTTTCCTCTGGGTACGCCAGTTTCCTCCACATTGCAAAGACAAGCTGTAGGTGTATTGACCCTAGTGTACAGTATGTATGAATGTGAGTTAGGGACCTTAGATTGTTAAGGCAGGGACTGATGTAAATGTACAATATAATGTAAAGCCCTATGTAAACTATCAGTGCTATATAATTGGCAGTAATAAATACATTACTTTAGTTCCACTTTATTGGATTTTTCTTTAGTCATCTTTCCTTATGAAACATGCTATGAAGTAAACCCATTCCAACTAATTCAATTCCATCCCAAGACCTACCTAAAGCTACACTTATTTTTGGCATATGCTCTTTGCTTAGGATTCTGTAAGAGTAGGGGGTATACTTTTCAAGTTTGCCCTTCTCACTGTTCCACTGATGTTTCTGTGATCTACTGGGGAAGAAAGGAACCTCCTTGACATGAACAAATTTAAACTAGGCAGAGTGTCATAGGGATTTTACAAGTGAACACATGGACAGTGTGAGTTGTATCTCAGCTAGCCACTTCCTTCTTATGACACGTTTCCAGTTTAGCTAGGGTAAATACTTTAAATCTGTCATTATATCAAACTATCACATACCAAATGAAAGGTAAAATCATGCTTACAGTGAGAATGATGGCTCTGTAGCCTAATGGATGGAATGTAGAAAGAGGAAGTACTTTGGAAGGTCAAGAGAACTAAGGTAGTCACCAGCCTGTTCAAAAGCAATAACATTTAATAGGTCAGGCAGCAAAGCAGGACACAGAATGGTATCTGCAGAATTAGAGGCTGTGTGTGTTGTTACCATCCTTACAGTACTACCATGAAATGAAGGGGGAGTGGATCAGAACACATTTACTATTACTTTGAATATCTTTTTGCACATACACCTGTGCATTTAATTATTCAACTTTAAATAGAAGAAATCACCACTATCCACACAATTTCCTTCTTGTTTTATTTTTAAGATGAACTCCAGGATAGGCAAAAAAAACACCCATTAGTACACCCACTACACAAATATTAAACTGTTACCACTGAGGACTTTTCATGATGTCATCTCTGTAATTCAGAATTATTGGGTGCAGTTCTGATATGGGCTTTTTACTAGTGTTAGTTAACCATGCCATTTGTATATTGGGTTTTTATCTATTGAAACATTAAAATGGGTACTTTATTTACCAGCACTGAGTTTCATAATTTGAGTAAATTACTTTGACTTAAATGGGTAATTTAATTAGTGTGAATTTGAAATGGATGACTACAGCAGCAATGAAATACCCATTTTATCGCATTAAGTATTATATTCATCTAATGAAAACTTTAATTACATTAACAATGAGATGGGCATTTTACTAGGTGTGACACTGTGGTTGATCCATTATTTCAGCTACTTTGACAGAGGTTTGTTTTTCATCTCATTTACTTTGAAATTCAATTGGGTATTTTATGTTCTGCAGTATTAACATGAGTGTTTTTTTGATTGCAATATTCAGGGAGTGTTTTTTACGCAATGTATGATTTTACAAAGACATTAATATATATACTGTTACTGTAATTACTGTGACATTCTGGTGGCTGTGATATGTATTTTTTTTCTTTTTAGAATTTGTTTTTGGAACTATATTTCTAATTCAGTCAGGGAAATAATAAAACACAGAAACATAGAAAAGTGATGGCAGAAAAAGACCTAGTGGTCCATCAAGTCTGCCCAATATTTTTTAATTTAAAATTACTAAAAAGCAGCTAACATCTGATCCTATACCAATCGGTTGCAAAGATAAAATAAAATATAATTGATGTAGCACTTATACACTAATACAATTATTAAGTATAATTAATAAGTGACCACAAGGTGATAAAAAAAACACATACAAGGTCCTAATAATGGACCAATTAAAGTGACTTATATAAGAATAGTGACCCCAATCCACATGGGGATGCATAAAAATAGTGACCCCTGGTACCCAATATGGGACACAATCCAATATTAGGTGAATCCCTACAGAGGGATCAAATTCATACACTCAGTGTAAAACCAGATAATAAACATGACGTAATAAAGATCTGTGCAATACGTCCAATAATCGGTGCTGCATTCCTTCTGATCATGTAAAACATGTGAAATGTGGGTACACAGCACACCCTGAATGTGATCCCAAAATGGCTGCAATGGCCTCTCGTCTCCACCTAGCAACCCTGCAGGGCCACAAAGCATATATAGATAACCTCTGGATCCCCTCAGCATAAGGCACTCCTAATGGCCTGGTAGCTTGGGCAAATTCTCTGGAATCAACTTTCACCACTGAGATATATGGTATGTGAACAGCTTTATTAGGCTGCAATTTAAGAGGGAGAGATGAGGCTGGTTTTACCAACAGCCAGAAATATTGTACACACAATACAGAGCATGTAAGCAGCTTTATTAGGCAGCAATTTAAAAAGGAGAAGCAAGGTGGGTTTTATGATGAAGTACAAATTAAAGCGTATTCTTTCATTGAAAACATCCAGAAATATAACACAGTTACACACAGTATGCAAGGCTGAGATTTCAAAGGGATAGACAAGGCAGGTTTTATTACAAAATAAAAATTACATTTCACAGAAAATAGACAAAAATTGTGCAGTTGATGCACAGTTTATAATTAACATTACTGGGCCTTAAAGTAATTTTAAAGGCAACTTTGTTAAAAAAAAAAAAATAACAAACATATTATACTTACCTGCTCTAAACAGTGGTTTTGCACAGAGCAGTACCAATCCTCTTCAGCAAGCTTGCTATGGGGGTACCCAAGCAAGCTCGCTCTCCAGCTGCTGCTCTGTGTGGCCTTCACACACAGAGCTACAGCTCAGCCCCACACCCTCTCTCTCTCTCTTCTCATTGGCTCACTGGTTGTTATTGACAGCAGTACTGGGAGCCCGTGGCTCCTGCTGTTGTCTCAGCCAATGAGGAGGGAGAATTCGCAGACAGCTGAGGCTCTCATGCATATTGCTGGATCACGATGGGGCTCAGGTAAGTATTGGGGTGGTGCTAGGGGGGCTGCTGCACACAAATGCATAGAATGCATGAAGGTTAAAAACTTTGAGCCTTTAAAACCACTTTAATTTAAAGTGGTTGTAAATCTCAGACATGAAAAATTAACAAAACTCATCCCACTGTATTGTGTATTAGTCTGAATCCAAAGCACCAAATCTGGTTTCTCTCTGATCTCTCCTCTTTCTGCTATCTGCATGACGTCACTGATAGAACTCTAAGCTGACACAACAGCCTGCAAGGAGAAAGTCTACCCTTCTCCTCCCCAGCACAAAGCAGGTGACTAACAACCTAAGCTATGTATGTTTTTTTTTTCTATGAACCTGTGTATAGTGAGGCGTGTCCCTTCCCTCCACTCAGATTACACTTCAGCTCTATGCTCTACCTCTGCAGTGTGTGTGAGACATCGGATCCCTGCCCCCTGCTTTCTACTGCTGAGAAAAATCCTTTGATTTGTGTATTTTAAGAGTCTTCCACAGGGAAAATTACAGATAAATAGGTACAACTTTTGTAGGTGGACCTGTTTCATCTCTGTCTATCACCAGAAGCTAGTCACTTCAAGGGGTATAGGTAAGGTTTTACAATGAATTAAAAGGGAAAGTGGCTGTTGTTATCATGAAAGAAATATAGAGTATTTTTTAACAGACCAGGGTTCTGCAAACTACAGCCCTTGTGCCCCATTCAGCCTGTTACAAGATTTTATCTTGTAAAAAAAAACTGTCCCTGAAAATACTCCAGTTGGCTGGCAATAGATGCACCAGTCTGTGTATCATAATACAGTGACTGGTGCATCCACTACCAGCCACCCAGCTATGACCCTCCCCCAGTCCCCAGACAAGAATTACCCCTACCTCCACTGTGGCTGGTTGCCAGGACCACCAGCATCCTAGCATCCAATGACAAGTTGCCTCTTCTTATAGACAATAGCTAGAAATATTGTAAAATTGATGCTGCATATGTAATCAGTTTTATTAGGCAGCAATTTTACAAAACAGGTTTTATGAAGAAATTAAAATTAGAGTGTATTATTTCACAGACAAGAGTCAAAAATATTGTACAGTCAATCAGCAGCATGAAAGCAACTTTCTCAGGACACAATTTGCAGAGAGAGAGACAAAGGCAGTTTTTATCTTGAACTAAATATTAGAGTGCATTCAATATTTCTGAGTGCTGGAGCAATGGAATAGACCTAGGAGACACAAAGTGTGATCTACCTTGCAGCAAACATTAGAAATTTTGCAGCTGACACCCAGCTGTGGAAACATTTATGTGTGTGCCATCCAGTGGTGACTCTAGGAACAATTTATGGGGGGGCACATAAGGTCCCACAGTCAAAACTGGAGGGCAGTAATAAGTTTCACCATTAAATCATACCACTGAAAAAAACAAAATAAGTATATACAAATAGGATTAAAAGAGTAATGCAGTATGCAACAATACTTTTTTTTTTATTGTTCTAAGCTAACACTTAAAAGACTAGCTTTCAAGAGTTTTCCTTTCTTCTTCAGGTATTGCATCATTATTAATTTTATCCTCTCAGCATGAGTGAATTACTTCTCCTAAGAAGAAGCACATGACAGTCAGAGGCATAACTAGGAACCTCAGGGCCCCAGTTCAAGAATCTATGAATGGTCAGAGACTGCAGACATACTAAAAGAGATGGTCAGAGACTGCAGACACACTACGGGAGGTGATCCATGACAGCAAACATGATCCAGGAGATGGTCAGAGATTGCAGGCATACTGGAGGAGATGGTCAGAGACTGCAGACATACTACAGAAGACGGTCAGAGACTGCAGACATACTACAGGAGATGGTCAGAGACAGCAGGCATACTACAGGAGATGGTCAGAGATAGCAGACATACTACAGGAGATGATCAGAGACTGCAGACACGCTACAGGAGATGGTCAGAGACTTCAGACACTACAGCAGATGGTCAGAGACTGCAGGCATACTAAAGGAGATGGTCAGAGTCTGCAGACATACTACAGGAGATGTTCATAGACTGCAGACATACTATATAGAGATGGTCCATGACTGCAGACATGATACAGGAGATGGTCAGATACTGTAGACATACTACAGGAGATGGCCAGGGACTGTAGACGTACTACAGTTGATGGTCAGAGACAGCAGGCATACTACAGGAGATGGTCAGAGACTTCAGACATGATACAGGAGATGGTCAGAGACTGCAGATATACTACAGGAAATGGTCAGAGAATGTAGATATACTACAGGAGATGATCAGAGACTGCAGACATACCACAGAAGATGTTTAGAGACTTCACACACATACAGGAGATGGTCAGAGACTGCATACATACTACAGGAGATGGTCAGAGACTGCAGATATACTACAGGAAATGGTCAGAGAATGTAGATATACTACAGGAGATGATGAGAGACTGCAGACATAATACAGGAGAAGGCTATGCAGTGTCACCACTGCTAGTCGACCGGCGGGGGACTCAGCTGTCTACAACCACTAGTGACGGCCCTCCCATGCAAGAACCCATCAGCTCCATAATGTAACCAGCACTTGGTTCTAATGCACTACCACTGCTGCCATGGGGTCAGAATCGCCGGACAGACACTGTCAATAGCAGGGGCAGGGGCAGGGGCAGGACCAGAAGAGTAGGCTGGAAACACCCAAAGTGGAGTAATGCCATGACCTGGTTGAAAGTGTGACCTTGGTAGTTCTGGCACTGTCTGAGTGGGAAGATGCCCCCATCCACCTTGAATGTGTAGATGAGGGGATTGGATCATATTTTTATTTTTTCATTCAACCCATTGATTGAACAAAAAAAAAAGTGATTGATGTATGGACTGCTAAGTGCTAACTGGAAGTGAGTAAGGCTGGCCATACACTATACAATTTTCTTTCCAATTTCTGCCCAATTTCCTTTAGATTTACCTTCAACTATGTAGTGCAACGGCCTGCCTAATTGGATACAATTGAAAGTGTTGTTAGATTTGACCTCCTATAATATGGGTTTTGGTAAATCTAAACCAAAAATCTCAAGAAAATTGTATAATGTATGGCCAGCCTAAGTTTGTGAAGTTCTTGGAGGAACAGAGAGGGGGAGGGAGACAGATGGGGGAGAAAAGAAATGGAGATGGGAACATGTCAGCTCTCACAGTTTGCTGCAGTGCTGAGTGTTCACTAAACCCAGGTATACCTTGTTTTTTTTCAGGACAAATTGGGCTTTCATTTAGTGGTAAATGGTAATAAATATCTCCTGATTTTTTTTATTATCAAAGGAAAACTGGCCTAAAATAGTAAAAAAAAACCATATTTTTAATTTAGATGTATATTTTTTGTTATTACCATACCTTACCACCAAAGAACAACCCAAAATAAATTCTGCTGCTTCTGATTTTTGTTGGTTGCACCCATAGTAGGGAACAAAAACAACAGTGTGCATTTTGCTTTTATATCCTACCTAAAACATACTGACACTGATACTAAATTAAAAAAGTTTTTTTTTTTTTTTTAATCCTATCTAAATTTTACTAACACTGACCTTTGGCCCTGAGCTTGACCCTAACACTAACCCTGACAATTACCTAGATCAAACCTTGATCTAGTTATTTTTTCTTTATTTTTTAATTTTTTTAATTATTTTTTTTCACACACATTTGTTTGTTTGTTAACATCTTTCTCCTCCATTCAGAGGAAAAAGAAAACACATAGGTGGGCTGCAAAGTGACTGATCACAGCCAATCAGAGGCTATCACAGCGATCAGGTGACTGGGAACTGATCATTAGTACGAGACCCGGAGCTCTCAGTTAGAGCCTGTTCTCTGTGTTGGGAGTGCAAGAGCACATATACGAGTCGCGCCGTTTTAAAGCCCACCTCCTGGACATTGCATATATGTGTTACCATGTCATCAAGGGGTTAAGGATTGGTAAGCTACATTATATATTATTTTTTCTTTTGGGTTTAGATGCAGTTTAAGAATGCGGGGATGTGGTGCACTAAACTGTACTGCACATGTCTTGATGTGCTGCAAACAATGTGCAGGTCTGCTTTGTCAGTCATAAATTCACACAGCTCACTTGGAAATGAACAAAAAAGACCTCAGCAAACTTAAAAATAAAATATACCTTCCCCAAACAAAATAAAACCTAAAACACAAAACCACAATCCTATATATTTTTTTAATCTAACAGTAAAACAATATAAAAATGTAAAACAGACGAAAAATAAAAGCCTAATAAAACACCAAAAAAATTCAAAGGGGGGGAAGCAGGACCTAAGCAGTAATTTAAGCTGTTGGTGATACAGACAAAAAGATAACTATGGAAAGGATTGTAAGGCTTCATTTGTACTATAAGAAATCTCAAACATAGAATTGCATTAAATTAAGTGTTTTATATTTTGTTTGTACAAAAAAGCAGTAGTGACAGACTCATTGAGCAAATTGTACATCGGGGTAGGCAATCTTTGAGAGGTGGAGATGTACCTGAACAACATGAAAGAGATCAAAGATCACCAGGGTTTGGCGCCCTTTTTTTTTTTTTTTTTTTTTTTTTTTTTTTTAAGAAATTAGCTAGCAGTGGGGCAGGTGTCAGTCTGTAGATCAGTGGACGTTAGAGCACTACAGATGCCGGCAACCATATTCAGTAAATCACCAGAATAGAACCATCGGCACTTGGAGAGGCGCTCTAAGTAATCTAACAGAGCAGAGGACAGTGTCTGTAGAGCAGGGGATAGAATCAGTAGGGCAGAGGTTGGTGGCAGCAGGGTAGTGGACAGTGTCCGTAAGGTAGTAGACAGTGTCGGTAGGGCTGTGGATGGTGTCAGTAGTTATTTTTTTGTAATTATTTTTTACAAATTTATTTTTTTAAATTATATTTAGGGTTTTTTTTTAGCAGCCCTGTTAGGGGGCTTTGGTGAAATATCAGGGGTCTAAAGAACCCTGATGTCTCACTTTTTGAGACAGAGAAATGAGATTGAGGACACAGTCCTCAATCCCGTTCGCTGCAGCCTTAGCTGCACAGAATGAATGAACAGAAAGAGCTCTGCACAGTTTACAATGCTTCAGTTATGAATGAGCACAGTGAGTGATTGGTACTGATCACTCCCTGTGTTCACCCAGAAAAGGAAGGGTCCAGTAAATGACATATTTACCATCCCCTTCTCAAGCTCTCTCCATCCTGAAAGGATCCCCCAGGCAGCTGGCAGGAGAGGAGAGGTGGGGAAGCTGACAGTGCTGTAAGGGGGAGATGGGACCAGGGGAGCACACAGGGGATCCAGGTAGCAGAAAAAGTGGAACCTGAAGAGGAGGAGCCATAGGGGTGGCATATGCTGGAGCTGAGCACTGCATTTTCATCCCACAGCCAGATTTCAGCAGATGCAGGAGAAAGATACATGGCTCAGTTCCAGTAAATGCCCCCCTGGTGCTCTGCCTGTCCAGGTTCCAGGGGTCGGCAATGAAGGGGCGACTGACTGGTTGCCGACACCCACACTACATGTTTCATTGAAGTACATTCAACTTCTTCAGGAATATATTGGTCGGTTGTAATCTAAAGCAGGGGTCTCCATACCGGATGTGGCCCTTTGCTAGCCTTTATCCAGCCCTTGGGGCACTATTCCTCTCAATGATATGAAGCAGTATTCCTCCCACTGACACCAACAATGGGCCAATATTGATAACACTTATGTGGTACTATTCCTCCCATTAATACCAATGATGGGGCACTACTCTTCGTCCTACTGACCACCAACTCTGAGGCCATGTTTATTCTCACTGATGCTGGCTCCGACACATTTTCTATCCCCACTAGCCACACTCCGGCCCTCTTAAAGTCTGAAGGACCATAAGCCGGCCATTTGTTTGAAAATGTTTGGAGAACCCTGATCTAAAGTATAAAAACACAGGTAGGACATTTATATAGGTAACATTTATATATAATCAATAAATGTATATGAACATTTGCAGCATGCTTTTACTTACAAAAAACAATAACACAAGACCTGTTTATCACAATACATGTGTGAGTGCCATCCAGATAGAAAACCAGATTGGAAAAGACAATGCTAAATATGAAATATTCACTCCAATTTCTTGATTTATTCAATGTCAATAAAATCTGCCATACAATGGACAAATATAAAATCAAATATAAAATCAAATTATCACATACTTTCCTCATACAACTGACTTTTCATCAGCACTAAACTGTTGCCAGTTGGATATTGACTGGTAATGTCATTCATTTTGTAACTTACAAAGGGTGATTATTGCCAGTACAAAGGTGAACACTTTATTTATATGTTCTGAAACAGCTTTCAATGCTTTCTTCAATTTGACATCTATTGCTATAAGGAATAACACTATGCAGTGCCCTATTGGCGTTTTTCACTCTTTAATTACTTCCCAAGTGATGGCTGTACAGAGATCAGGCAACATACTGTTTTATGGGGAGTTATAAATTACTTTCCATCTTTCACTTAGCTTTTAATTGTTCTTATTGTATTGCTTATTTGTTTCACTGAACAAAGGTCGGTGCGTTAAACATTTTAGCTCTTCCAGAAGATATGTTGCAGAATTTTTTTAATATGTGAGATAGTTTCAGAAAAATTAACTTTAGGTGAAAAATAATGTGTGATCTCCACCTAGGGGTGAAATGGTGGACTGCATTACTAAAATTAGGCAAAACTAAATACTGTAACAGTAACTGTCACTAGAAATATATTTCATTGGATATGTATTCTATTCATGTATATTTTTTTTTATTTTAAGATGAACAAGTAATACAAAAAGATTATGCATTTTTCATCATACGATAAAGTAACAAGTTCACTTTGCTATATGAGCTACTTTCTACTCACTACACACTCTACTACATGACCTACTGTATTAAAGTGTTACTAGACCCACAACAGTAAAATCAGTCTGTATTTGCAGTGAAGAATGCTTGTTATACTCACTGTGGAACCTAAGGGGTTAATCATTTGCATTGTGTAAAAAGGCAGTTTAATCCTGTCTTCTCTGATTCTCTCCTTCTTC